TAAGAAAACTGACACGCTACATGACTGCATGTTTACTCAGGCGTGGAAACATGAGTCAGAGGTGCATTATGGGGAAACAGAAGAAAATCAGTATCCTGAAAGGTGGCAGAGTTCCAAATGTGAGAAAACTGAATCTTGTACGGACAGATTGTGGAGAACCACAGAGCTATGAAGAAATCTTGCAAGATGAAATTTCGAGCAAGTGGGAGCTGACGAAAATTTCACTAGAGAATAAGAAATTGCATAACAAGTGGGTGTACCGAGTGAAGACTCCGCTTGATGGCAATAAGAGGTACAAGGCTGCGCTTGTTGAAAAAGGCATTCAACTAAGGCATGATATTGCCCATGCAGTGGGAGTTGCAAACAGATATATGAGTAACCCGGGAAAAAACTTGGAGATACAAGACTGTTGACGCTGATATGTCGACTAAGGGTGTTACTCTTGAGAAGCTGAAGTTGTGCTCGGCTTTAGCTGGTCTTCTGGCCTGAAAACTGGGGCTTTGAGTTGCAGAGGTAGAAAATATCACGCTTGAGGAAAGGGTCGATACAGCTAGCGAATGATGCAACCAGTGGGTGATACAGTCAGTGTCCTAGTCTCCAAGTGGGAGAATTGTTGAGTAGGTCAAGCCTAGTCCACTGGTTAATTGGAATTCATTTAATTAAACCTTTAAATAAATGCTATTATAATTATTTGCTTCTAAATTTGTTTGTCGCCTTTTTTGTGAACTATTCATGCCTTCTCCTTGGATTTCTAGAAATACTTGGCTTTCCTTAATGGGCTTGGAATTAGAAAAAATTAAAAAGGGTAACGACTGAAATTGAAAAAATAGCTCACCTGCTCCATTGCAATTTGCTTCTACGTTGCTTTACGTGAAGGATGATAGGTTTTTCTCCCCTTTTTCTGTGATTTCTTTCTGCAGCTCTCGGTTAGAGAAAGAGAGAGAGAAGAAGAGAAGAGGAAAGAGAGGTGAGGAGAGGAGAGAGAGAGGAAGAGAGTTTCCTGTAATCATCGAGGTGATCGACAATGTAAATCCTCGAAATAATAATATTCTCTGCAGCTCCGTGGACGTAGGCAATTTGTCGAACCACATAAATATGTGTGTTTCCGCAATTTTTTCTGTTTTGCAAATTTTTCTCGTTCCGATTTTTTGCTTTATTGCCGTTGTTTTTCACAACTTAGACGATAACAGAAATAGATATGCGGTGGAATGATCAATAAAGAACTAAATGAGGGAATGCAAACATCAACATACATATCACACAAATTCATTTATTTACATATTTTATACATAAAGTTAACATTTTGAGAAATGCTACGTTTAATTTATTTTATGCTATTGATGCAGGGAATCAGACGGCTCCTAGAAATTTCAAATTTTAGGACGTACAATAAAGCCTGCACTTAGACGGTAAGAGAAATAGATACACGGTGGAATGATCAATAGAGAACTAAATGAGGGAATGCAAGCATCAACATACATATCACACAAATTCATTTATTTACATATTTTATACATAAATTTAACATTTATTTATATAACAATCAAATTTTTAACAACTCATCAATAACATCGCAGATACTCTTTCAAAGTGAAATATAACTTTTCATACATATGTTTTGATTCGATGATGATATTTATTTAGTCATGTTCAATTTAAGATTGTCCTGTAAAGCACACCCAATTAATAGAGCGTTGAATGTGAGAGGGAGTGAGAGAGAGGGAGAGAGGGAGAGAGGGAGAAGACATAAGAGTAGATTAGCCAGAACAATATATTAGCCCTTGACCGTAGAAATTACCCCCTATTTATAGGCTCGGGAGATATAAATTGTACAATTATTTGTGTACCCTTATTTAAATGTGAATACCATAGGGTATTGGTTAAAAATAAATGCATAAATAAATAAATAAGCAGTATAACTGTATAAGTTACCCCATCACTTGCTCGTTTATGACTGGTGGTTCTTGGGTCAAACAGAAATAGCTAATCAATTTAGCTAAGTTAGGGCAGACGGTCGTTCTGCGAAGAGCGTTGGGTTGGTCTGGCAGAGGGCCCTTAGTCGGCCTGGCTGAGGACTCCGGTCAACCTGGATGAGGACTCCGATCAACCTAGCTGAGGGTCTTCGATCAACTAGGCAAAATCAGTCGGTCGCCAGAGGTCCCTCGGCCGCTAAATTTTGTTTGGCTGGCTCTTTTGATTTGAGTATCAGTTATCGACCCCTTAAGTGAGGTTTCTTTTGCCAATATGAGATTAGGTTGTCGGGTGGATGACACGTTACAATAATCTGACAAGTAGTCTCAGCCCTTTAACAGAAAGTCCACTGAGAAGATATGTGTTGGCATTGTTTTGGGCACTTAAATAATCTTAACAGACCTTGAGGTTTTTTATAAGATGATGTGTAGTGTTATTTTGACGAGTCTGGTAGATCCCTCTCGTTGGTTTGGTATGTGCTGACCTTTATCCTAAGAGGCTGTAGTTTGGTAGATTTTGTACACTTTTAGGGGGGCATTGGCTAGGCATTGGATCACGTGGGCGCATGTTAAATGTGACATTTGACTTTTGATGACTATCTTTGACCATGCTTACTTTTCAATCTAAGATCTCCTTGAGATTCATGATAATGTATTTAAGGTGTACAAATCTGATAAGACTGAACCTGTAAATGGAATTCACTACTAAGGAAAAATTAAATTGGAGATCTAACTTTAACTTATCAATGTTTTTATTGTCAACTCGTTAATTTATATCATTTATTATAAGAGAATAAAAGATAAATGTTTGAAAATTATAACTATGAAACATAACAAAAAAAAAATTTGTTTGTAATGATGTCATGGGAATTCAACATGCCTGATTGACATGAGTGCGACTATATTTTGCCATTTTTTTGAAACATGCCACTAAAAATATTAGATACAAATGAAGTTATTAAGAATTCTCCAATGTTAGAAAAATATCAACACATTTAGGGGTGTAAACAAGCCAAACACCAACGAGTCGAATTAAAGCTCATATTCAGCTCATTAAAACATATCACTCTTTTTGTTCACCTCGTTTATATTTCAAACAAAAAAAAATGTTTGTGTTCTACTCATTTTCTTTGCGAGTTGAAAAAAAAATTTGTTCACAAATAAAAAGTCATTTTGACAACTCTAGTCACACAATCGCGGGATATTAGAAATTTGGACGAGATTTAAATCTTATTATTTATATTAAACTATTTAAATATAATTTAATATATTGTTACTCTATTTCTTTAATTAATAATTTTATTTGATTATAAATCTATATAGCTTTATAATCAATTAATTTTCTTAAAAACATTACTCATCAATTATATATAATAATAATAATAATTTAATTATTTAGAGTCAAAGCAATCTTTGTTTGTGTTCGGTTCTTTTAAACAGCACAAAAAAATTATTCATGTCCGACTTGTTAACTTAACGAGCAAATAAAAAACAAGCTCTTCGAAACGTTTTGACCCCTTATCACATTCTTTCTTTCCTCTGCATTTTTTTATTTCACTTATGTTTTCATTTTTGTTAAATTCATTATTAGCTCATGATGCATAATAATTTATTTAAGAACTAAGAAAATTATGTTAATAATTAAAGAACTAGTTACCATTAATTGTCTCAATATCACTTACCTGTAATTTTGACATCAGCAGTTCAAATTATATAATCTTTAAATAAAGCTCTTGAGTCCACAATCAATCGACTTAAAAAATCCATTTTTAACGCAAGATATATAAATATAGTAATGCCTGAGAATAAGTCACTTTTATTTTTTATTTATTATTATTTTATTTTATTTATATTTTAATTTAAAATAACATATGTTTAACATGTTTAATTAGAATAAGATTATTTTTTAAAACATTCAAAATACTCAAAAAAAAAAACTATTTTGAATATTTTCAAAAAATATGTTGAATTGTTTTTAAAAATAAAAATATATTAAAAACACATTAAATAAATGTTTTTAAAAATAAAAGAAAAAACAAAAATATAAATTATAAAAAATAGAATTGATCTCGAAAAAGCACTAAGCCTTGGAATATGCTTTACAAAATTGCCTAAAACCTAACTAGGGGTGTAAACGAACCGAACACGAACAAACAGAACCTGTATTCATGTTCGGTTCGCTTGAAATTTATTTTATTTGAAATAAAATTGTGTTTGAAAATCTTTGTGAAATCACTATTCCTATTCGTTTTTTAATGAATGAGCCGAACACGAGTTGTTCGCGAACGATGAGCCAGTTTGACACCCTTATATATATATAATATTATATTAATTATATAACTTATATTATATAAATATATAATATCTATATTAGTATATTACTAATATAGTATATTAATATATTATTATTATTAATTTATTATATATTATAATTTCTGATTCGTTTAACTAACCGAAAAAAAAAAGATTTGTTCACATTCGTCATGTTTACTTATCGAACGAATCGAACACGAACTCATTGACGAACCGAACGCGAACTGTTCGCGAACACCGAGCTTTTTTTTTGACAGCCCTAGACCTACCCTTAGCCTTAATGCATTTACAAAATAGACTATTTATTTAAATTCGATTTCAAAAATATGACAGCACGTTAATTCAATTTACAAACAAATTCATAAATTATAAAAATATTTATTCAAAAAACATTAAGTTATTTACAAAAATATCAAAGCAAAACAAAGATATTGCAAATTTTAATGATCTAATTTTTTCCAAAGTATTCAAAATCTAAGCTGAAAATCTGGAGAGAAAACATTTGCAAGACAGAAAAGCAACAGTGGAGAGAACCAAATGAATAAACATAAAAGAAGTTACAGTGCATTCACAAACTTCAAACTATCTCTATGATCCATTAAAAGTTTTATAATTAAGTTAATCAGCATATAAAATTAGTTTTCTGTAACTAAAAACAACTGATTCTAACCCTGAATTTATATATTTTTTATTTAAACTAGAATTTATTTTACTTTATTTTGATTTATTGAGAAATTGGTATAAGGCTAATAATGATGATGAGGAAGAACATTTTCATTCAATATTCAGAACTAGATAAGGTATAAATCAGAACCTTAATTGGCTTAATCTGGGATCATAACTCTGCTGCAGAGGCCAGGAAGGACTGGAAACCGAACACTAAGAAGAGCACTCCGCTGGACAGAGAAACCTGAAATTTTAATAAAGAACTTGAGTTGATGATCAAACCTGTACCTAATTTTATATATTTACATATCTAACTTTCATATGTTATGACATTACATCAAAAATATTATTATTACTAACTTTATAAGACTGCAATAAACCTTTCGATGCATGTGTTTGTTTGTAGTACCAAAATGTTATAAATGTAAATATCAACTTTGGTGCTGGAGATGTAAATACATAACAATTGAGAAGCATGTATGTAAATTTCTCTAAATTTGATTGTGAGTTTAAAGAAAGACTCTTTACCATCTTTTCGGAAATCTGGGTGGCCAAACTCTTTCCTCCTAAAACAGCAGCTGTGGTGCATATGGCTTGTCCTCTGGAACAAAGATCTCATGTGAGATATCCCTAACAATACAAATGCAATGAAATTCAAAAATGGAATATATATATATATATAGTAGTTATAGTTCATGCATACATCATGATGCCACCAAGGACTACGCCGAACGGATCCATATCGGAAGCAAGACCGATTGTAGCAATCTGAGAGAATGTACAAAGGAAAGAGTTTGTTTATGTAAAAGAAAAAAAATAAAAGAAGATGAAGAAAAAATGGGTCAAGATATTCTATTAAAATTTGGAATATGATAAGTATTAAAGACATTGAATATACTTTAAGATTAGTGCAATACATACAGAATCAATTGAAGTTTATTTTGCACTTGTTAAACCAAATCCAACAGCTTTAATTTGATTGGGAAAACTTAAACCAACTTTATTTCTGAAAAATAAACTACCAAAACTTACCTGACTCTTGTCACCCCACTCACCAAAGAAAGTAATGGAAAATGCCTGCGAGTGAAAGTGGCAATAAATTCAAACATGAGAAAGATGGTGGCAAGTTAAATGATACTGTGCTCTAAAATAGAAAAACATGAAAAGTGTCAAAATAGTTTTCTTATTATTTGCAGATAGTCATTTTAGTCCTAGGGTCTATAAAAGTATCAATCTAAACTCCAATGTCTTTTAGTATTGGCTGAAATAGTCCCCGTGGAGAACTTTTCTGCCCCAATTTAAAGAGAATAGGAGATTAAATTGGTATTTCAAGATACTCAGGGACTAAAATGGCCTAATGTAAACAATCAAAGGACTATTTTGATATTTACTCAATTGAAAAACTCGCCTTCAAAAAGATTGGTGAGAACAATTGTGTCAGAAATCTTGTCTGCTGTTTCTTCGAGTCATCATTATCCTGCATGAAAAATCGGAAAAAAAAATGAAGTTGCTGTTAAAATACCTTGCTAATCGTCATTGATAGACTATGTTGATTGAATATCTCCAATAGGTGAACTATAACAAATTAGTCAGGCATGGCACTGCAACTAAAATTTTTTAGCTTTGAAGTTCTTAGTTTGCTTTCACAGTTGATCAACACACACAAACGGTTCTGGAGGTACTAAGAAAGTAAAAACTCTTTCTATACATTGAATCAAGCCAATTGGCCTACTGCAACATATTTGTTGCATAAAATAGTTTAGCAGCATTTACGTGCACACCGCCCAATTACTATATATTTATGTAATACCTATATTTTCCCTATTACATTTATATCACCCAAATCGTTCATATCATATCAAAAATACCACTATATTAACTTTCAAAAGTCAAATACATCTTTTCTTGCATGCATAAGTTCACATAAATGTAAACGGGACGTTTTGGTGTTAGATATGTAAAAAAATAGGAATTGAGCGGTATGTATGTAAATCTTCCAATAGTTTAATAATCCTTCATTCAATATTTTTATGGAATTACTGACAATCAGTAAGCGTAATGTTAAGTTACTTCATGTTAAGGCATGAATAAACTCTACTTTACATACACTGAGCCCTCACAGGCAACACAGCTTACAAATCAACAACCATGCAGTAAGAAGAAAGGGTGAAAGTGAAAGGATCTTTAGATGAGATTAAACTAGCTTTACTGATGATGTTATTAAGTAGAACTTAATAATTCAATTTCGATATGCAAAAGATTAAAATAGGAAGTTGTTAGGAGAATAACAAATTAACTAAAAATAAATGATTACAAAATTTGTTAGCATAATTTATTTATTTGGATGACTTTAATATGTCAAATTTGAACTTGAATTGGATTTAGGTGAAGATTTCTCGGTAACACTATCAATTTGCAGGGTTCAGCTTGGTAGCTGAAGCTTTCGACGTTGGTGATTGGAAGGTTTTTTGAAGAAAAAAGTAGTTCAGGGAAATAAAATGTAGAAAGGAGAAAAAGGAGCAAGTTAGAGCATTCATTTGTGTGAGTTTATAGTACCATTTTGATAAACCTAAAGCATCTACGCCAAAGAATTTAAGCCAAATCAATAAAGAGGTAAGAAGTCATCCTTCTTTTGAGTAATGATGTATTATCATAATTGACTTTCTTTATTGTATATCTTGACTTGTTTTCTTTTAATTTCTATTGACATGTTTTAGATTTACCTTTTTTGTTCTAGTAATGAGATGTTCTCATATTTTCTTATTTGCACAAGCTTGTGGCTTCTTGTTAATGTAAAGAACCTTTATTTGTACACAACTCTCGAGTTTCTTCTTTACTATAGTTCGTGGCTCATAATATTAGTTCCTAGTGATATTTTGGGATAGAAGTTGGACATTAGTCCTAAAGATTGATATCAAAGCGAGGATTATATGAAGTAAAATTGCTATGAACTTTGAGATAGGAAATTTTGATGTGTTTGAAAATTTTAAATTTTAGATAAACAAGATGCATGGTTTTCTTGTCTGCCAAGGACTTGCAAAGACTCCATGGGGTATACAAATATGCCCAAGATGATGAATGAAGAAGAGACGCCCAAATGGCTGAAAATTTGTCTTGCCAATTGAATAATTTGGCTGATAAATCTTCATTGATGTCTTCAAAGAAACAGTCGCGCAGAAGATCGTGGCTTCAAATAAAGTCTCTTTATACAATAGCAAAATCTATCTAATAAGCATTGGTATTAAAGATTTATTTGTTCTATTGCAAAAAAATTTATGTCTATTCAATTGCATTTGAATGCATTCAATTCCATTGTTCATATTCTAAGCAATATTGATGTGACTACTAAATGAGCAACATACAAATGATAACCATAAGAAGGGCAAGTCATCAAATGCTAACATTGTCATGAATTAACTCGGCTTAAATGTAAGTGATGTTATTTTGGTAACTATTAAAGTTAATCATAATAATCAATAAATTTAGATTCAACTAAAACCAAATGTCTTAATATGGATTTGTTTTCCACTTGTAAGTCATGCTTTGGTGGCTGTCTACATGACATCGAAATAATGTTGTGCACAACACAGTTGATTTTGGCAGATCAAGTTGATGACACAAGATGGTTTGATTAAGACATTAGCCAAAGTTTGTGTGGAAACCTGAGAAGATTTAGTTCTTTCCATATTTACCTCTCTCAAGTCTCATATAGGTTGGCCACCACCTCCAAATCTTGAACGATTTAATTGGGATATCTTAGGAACCTTTGATTGATTTATTCCATTCCTATTTTATATTTTTCCTATTTTTTATTCAGAATTATTTCCTTTCATAATTTAGGTGAGATATGTTTTATAAGTTTGTTATAAGGATTGGTTTCCCTATATATATGTACCCTATTTGTGAATAATGGAAGAAGCAAGTTCCTCCCCAAGTAAATTCAACAATTAGAAATGCGCCAAATCTGAAAGAAAAGTCTAACATCTTTAAGGAATGTTTAAGTCCATAGTGTCTACAAAGATACTTTGATTGTCAAGGTAAATAAAGTCAATGGACTCGTGCAACTTTGAGTGGTTCTGCTTGAATTTTATAATTTGGTTGAGTATCATAATTTGTATAAAAGGATTAACTTCTTGGCTATAAGATAGATTCAAGAACAAAATAAAGCCATGATATTATCAGATAAATCAAACTTGCCTTGCATATTCTATCCAAGTATCCATAGCACTGAGCAAATAAATGCACATTATGGAATACAAATATTTAGTGATATGCAATTTTTTAGTTATGGATATATTTTAGTGTGCAAAAATGTGTTTTAGAGAGCACTTATAAGCTTTATGAAATCATGCACTGTTCAGCGCTTCAGGGATTCAAGAGCTTAGAGTGCTCAACTCGAGGAGTTACAAAAAAGATCAAGATTGTTATCACATTATTAAGCCATGGAAAGTTTTATTCATACTAACATCGAGTCCATTTTCTTGGATATGTACAAATTTAAATTAGGAGGTTATTAGAAAATTAAAAAATTGTTTTATAATAAACCTTTTAGTTAAAATATTATTAAATTAACTATTGTTTTGGATAACTTTAGCTCAAATTTAAATATAATTTGAATTTCAAACAACCTCCTTTAAAGTTTAATAAAAGGAAAAAAATCTAACTGGCCTAGCATATTCTATCCAATTATCAATAGCACTGAGCAAATAGATACCCGCCAGAGTACAAATATTTAGTGATATGCACTTTTTATAGTTATGAATACATTTTGGTGTGCAAAAATTTGTTTTAAAGATCTCACATAAGCTTTATGAAATCATGCACTGTCAAGCACTCGAGGGATTCAAGAGCTTAGAGTGCTCAACTTGAAAAGGAGATATAAAGATCAAGATTCTTATCGCATTATTAAGCCAAGGAAAGTTTTGTTACTAAGGTTGACCTCATTTTCTTGGATATGCACAAATTTAACATAGGAGGTTATTAGAAATTTAAAAAATTATTTTTCCCTAAACTTTTAATTTAAAAGATTATTAGAATAATTTTTGTTTGGGAAAACTTTAGCTCAAAATTAAATATGATTTGAATATAAAACCACCTCCTTAAATAAAGGAAAAATTATTTATGGGCTAAGAGAATCATGGGTCGACTTGAAAATAGGTGGCAAAGGCCTGTGAGAAAAATTATTTTGTTTCTGGTAAAATATAAGGGATATTAAATAAGAGAGAAGAAAGAGAAAAGGATGTCAAAAAATTCATTTTTGTTAGTTTTGAGTATTAATTAAGCAAACCAAAAATATCATTCCGTAAGAATTTTCAAGCTGAATCCAGAAAACAGATAAAGAAACCCTTTCGAGGAACTTTCAAAATAGTAATTATTTACTTTAATTTACTGCAATTTCCTTTATCATCTATCTTAGATCTCATTCGGTTGCTCGTCAATATAAAACAAGTTTAGAAAGAAATGACATAATTTTCGTTCATTTTGAGTGTGAAAATGAAAACAACAGTTGGAAAGGTTTTATGAAGATTTAAAAAGCTTAAAATAAATGTCATCTTTTAACTACGCCCAAAGAAATGATAAATATAACATCATTTTCCAATATATGACTTCTAACGTCAATCAAACAAATGAGACATCCAGTTCATATAGTTTGCCTCGAGAGAATTGGGGCTTCATGTTTAGTGGATTCAAATTCTCTCCTCTCTAGTACACAAAATCAAAAATTTATAGAGCCACATAAATTTTGGTGTTCGCCATGTGTGCATAATCTCTTATTTTTCTTACTTATAGCTTATCGTAGTCGCTTTGCATAAACTTAAAATGTTTTCCTCACAAAAGGGGCTACTTGCAAAACAATGAATGATGGAGGTAGTGGATTAAAAATTAGTCAAAGGACTCTATTACTGTGAACAAACCTTAGAAGTTCCTTTGGATCCAGCAGTTCCAGTCTTCCAGTCAGCATTCTAACAAATTAAAATGAAAATACAAAATATGTTAACAAAAAGTAAATTTATCAACAAGGGATTACTAGGTAAGGGCATGTCCTAACCAGCTTTGCTTCTACCTCCGCCAATTCTTGAGATTCCCTAACCAAAAAAACAAACAAACAAATAAATAAAAGCAATATTAGCTAACTGACAACAATCAGAAGGATAGTAATTAAGCATACCCGTCTCCTGTGAATGCTTCCCATAACGACCAAAGCCCAAAGCCAAAGAACAGTACAGTAGTAACATGATGTGTCCATTTACGAGAAAGCTGTTCCATTTTTCATTTTCTTAGGCTTGACAGGTTTAGGAATAGAGAAGAAGATTAAAAACATGATGATGATGATGATGATGACCATGATGAATTTAAACAAGTACGATTAATGAAATGGAAAGCAATAAGCCGCTAAATGCGCTGAAAAAAAGGGCAAAAATGTAATTTAAAAAATGATCCATTAAATGCGTAATTTTTCACTAGCAACAAAAAAGCACAATATTTCGTATACTCCCATTACATCAAGAAAAATTATCTGAAGAACCAATTGATAAATAAAATCTTAAGTATCGAATTCTCTTATGATAACTTGTGTTAAAATGAGTTGCAACTAAAGTAGCAGTTTATGTATGGACAAGGACCAAACTCAGCAAAAAGATAAGAGCAAGTGGATATTAAAAACACCTAGGAGAAGAAACTAGTGGAAATTTTGCTAAAACTAGCGACTGCAATATCAGCCACCTAAATAGAGTCCTAAATATCCAGCTCATTTACCATGCCAAAACGGAACAAGTAAACAAGGATCAGTCCCAATAACCGAACAAAAGAAAAGGAAAAGAATAAAAGAAAATAGGATGAGAAAGGAGGAAAGAATGAAATAAGTAAATAAGAAAAAAAGAATGGAAAAGAATGAAACTTCTTCCGCTACCTAACTTCCTGTGAACACTGATATCTCATTCAATGTCCAATGAGTGACAAGTCGTTGAGAGAGAGTGCTCAAGAATAAGAGATAGAGTAACAATAAGAGATAGAGTTACTGGCACAACCCAAATTCCCATCCATCGAGATATCATCCGCTTTGGTCTAATGGCCTTACGGTTTTGTCACATTAGGGTACTTCTCAAGAGTGCTCCCACATGAACATGCTTAATTTTTGAGTTTTTGTTGAAACTCCAACTATTACACCAAAAGACATTCTATGTTCAAGAGTTCATCTTTATTCTACTTAAGAGGTTTCACAATCTCTCTCACTCAAGTAAATGATGTCCTCATCAGTGCACTAAACCTAGAATCGACCACCAGACAGAAAAGTTCTAGAGATAGCTCTTACAGATTGAAGAGGTGGCTGCAATGGCATAAAACTTAATATGATTTAGTAAATGAGCATGTATGAGGAGATTGAGTGATGATTTTCACATTGAGTCCCCACAATTTGATCAACTCGAGCAATGCCACTTGCAATTTGGTGTTGCATAAGAAATATCGGGCACTATAGCTCGTGCCTATATGGGTTGGTCGGGTAATAGGTAAAATAATTCTTTTAGCAGCTGGAGAAAACATGTTAATCATTATGAGATCAAAACAAGCTACTTGAACTAATGGGGAAGCTTGGAGGCTTAGGAAATCTTTTGAAGATATTATTTATTGAGTCGGCAGCCTATGAAAGTCAACCATCTCAGCAAATTCAATCAATCTAGATGGCTCAAGCATATTAGCAAGTTACGCCACAAGATGTTTAGGATTGAGTGTAAAAAATGGATTACCATACTTTCCCTCTCATTTTGAACTCAAATAGACGTTCAAAATGCAAAATAAACATTTTTTACTCTCAAAGCTAGCAATACCTTATTGTATTAAAAATGATCTTAACTTACTAGAACTAAATAAAAATATGACACTAAATAAAATATGACACTAAATAGAAATAGGACGCAATGGAGAAAAAGGATTCATGTAGCCGACCCCACGTAGTGGGATTAAGGCTTTGTTGTTGTTGTTGTTGTTGTAAAGCTAGCAATACCATGAGCAATCACAACAATGAATCATTGGCCGTCATCCTTCAAGGGAAAGCGAATAAATTCCAAGAAAAGCCCTAATTAGAGAGGCAAAGAGGAAAAACACCATGGTAAATTCTACCGGTGGTCCCCAAACAATGATAGAGAAATCATGTGGGATTAAACAGTCCTCCTAGAAGAATGTCGCCGTAGAAATAAGGGCATCAATGTGTTCTTATGTGGAGCACGATTTGTTGATCAAATGTTCACTATGAACCATAACTTTTCGATGTTCATGCTTGACAATGAGTTTGTGGAGGGCTAGGGGGGAGTCCCCCCTCTTTTTGGGTTCTGTGGCTTTGCCCCAAAAATTTTTTATTTTCTATATCGGGCGCCACAAAGGTAGACCTAAAAAGACTTGGGCATATTGTATTAAAAATGTTCTTAATCTATTAGAATTAAATGAAAATTTGACACTCAATAGAACGCAATAGAGAAAAAAGGATTCATGTAGCTGACAACCAAAGTGGGATAAAGGCTCTTTGTTGTTGTATTGGGCGCCGCAGTGACCGGAAGCAGGCCCGAGCCCTTGGAACTCAAACGCTCGACAATCCAGCGCCCAAAGGGCCCAATCCAGGTTTAGAAGCCCGAGGGTACGATAATTGCAGCGCCTAGAGATTAGCAATCGTTGGAGCGTCATAGCGCCAATAGTACAGCGCCCTGATGCCAACAACCGATTTCAGCAGTTCATCTTCTTAGTTGTGAGATTTGGGAACGTTTAGTTGGATTTTGATCTCTTATGCGAAAGAGAAAGGTGAGAATTCCCGAAGTATTCCAAAGTGTAAAGAAACTTGTGTAGTGTAATTTGTGCAATTCTCCTCATTTCTCATAATGAATTATTGGTGTGGTGTGACTCTGTGGTCTTTTCTCATCCTCGGGTGTTTCCACGTTAAATCTTGTTGTTATGTGTTTTTTGTGTTTTCAAATTTGTATGTTTCAATTCAACTTTTTGCTTAAAATCTCTCAAATCGGTTTGCACAAATTTCTCTCCAAACAAGTGCTACCAAAGCAAAATTTTCTGAAAATTTTTTGTTCAAGTGAGAACAATAGCCAATGAAGCGAGGTACAAGGTTGAGAAGTTCAATGACTCAAAGAAAACAACAACAACAACAACGCCTTAATCCCACTAAGTGGGGTCGGCTACATGAATCCTTTTTCTCCATTGCGTCCTATTTAGTGTCATATTTTCATTTAGTTCTAGAAAGTTAAGATCATTTTTAATACAATAAGCCCAAGTCTTCCTAGGTCTACCTCTGTCTTTCTTAACACAAGTCGAATCTAAAACATCTACTCTCCTAATCGGATCATGAGATGGTCGACGTTTAACGTGACCAAACCATC